AGCAGATGTAGACAAGAATGACTCCTAACAAGCGACTGAGGTGTTGTTGGATGTAATAATGAACATAGCAGTCGTCATTTACTCCTGACATCTGAGCCGCTGAACTCGCAGTGGATTACGTTTGTTTCTGAAGGGAATGTGCCCCCCGATCTACATAAATGCGTTTATTTTTGTGCGAATCATTCGTGATCCAGCTTCATGTTTTGTAATGAATCTTTTACGTTTATTTTTTTTAATAATGTGCTAATTAGCAAGTTTCACGATGAATGCGGCTAAAGTAAACAGTCCCTCAGAGAGTGGCTCTGAAGAGAGGGGCGGGGTCAGCAGAGCTCATTAACATTTAAAGGACAATGCTACAAAACAAAAAACTTTTTGACAGGGTAAAAAAAAAGGTGTTTTTTTTACACTACCATTGAGAAATTTTAACCAAACTATGTTACAGACTTTTCATTAAGACCCTAAAGAATCATATCAACTTGTGGAAAATGGGCATCGGATGACCCCTTTAAGACCTGTTTACGTCAAGGACGATAACTATAACCGTAAAGTTTTAATAATCTTTGTTATTCTATGAGAATAGGAAAGCTCACACCACAACTATAACGATAGTGACATAGAGGAACAATATAGTTGGAATCACTTTGAACAATTTTTTCTAGCTGATGAATGATACTCCCATTAACAGCCAATCAGAGCTCGAGCATTTAAAGTGACAGGCAACTTAATTGCAGCATGTTTATAATAACAGAACCTAATGTGTGTTGCTGTGGTAGATGTGTAGTTGTCATGATAGTTATCATGCTTGGAGTGAACAGGCCTTTACTTGTCAGATTTGAAAGTGAAAGTGTCATTTTCTCATCATTTGGATGTTTTGTCAACATGATAGGTACCATTTGGTCCCTTGGCTTTCATGCCTGGAAAGCTAGTTCACACTAATGAGTTAACAGTGCTCCTCGGGGATAACTGGTTTGCAAAGTGTTCTGCCAAACAAGCCGACACTCTTGTGGAACACAGAAAGAAACGTGAGTTCATTTCTGTTCGATTAATATTTTCCATTGACCAGTTTGGAAAAATCCATACAGCTTGACCTGATATATGTTATTTTTCCAGATGTCAAAAATGCGCTAGATGACTTACAGAAAGTGATGAAGAACTTTCAGAATAAAGACGACTTTACAGATGATCTGGAAAAACTGGCTGGTGTAAGTGTCCAAACCATGACCTCATTGCCATGTGACATTATATGGAAACCTTATACTGATGTTTTCTTCTCTGGAAGAAACAATCATGTCTGCTCTTTTTACTAACAGGATACTGAAGATTTTGTAGACATTAGAGAAGAGGTAATAAATGAGGAAGAATTTACCAAAGGTAATTCTAGTTTTTCAGGTTAGCTTTTGTGTTTATCAGGTTGTTTTATCTTCTGTTGATCATTTACTCCCTATTGTGCTTCCACAGGAAAACGTTTGGCCCACAAACCCAATTCTAAACCTAAGCAGGAGTATTTGTCAGATCTGGAAGAGGACACAGAGAAGAAAGAAGGCGATGAAGAGAGAACGACAGGGCTGCTGTCAGAGGAGGAGCTGTGGGCCCGACTTGATGAACTAGAGTGTGAGGAGGAACTTCAAGATGAGAGATACCGGTAAAATATTGAATTTCCACAAAAAATATCAAGCAGCACAAATGTTTTCAACATCGATTGTCATAAGAAATGTATCTTGAGCACCAAAACAACCTATTAGTGATTTCTGAAGGATCACGTGACACTGAAGACTGGAGTAATGGTTACTGAAAATTCAACTTTAATATCACAGGAATAAATGACATTTTAAAATGGTAACACTTTAGTATAGGGACCAGTTAACTGCCTCAAGTTCATTATTTCAAATGTAGACATGCGGCAAGCACACAAATAGAGAGCGATGCGTTCGCGACACGCTGGTTTTTTTCCAGGCGCGTCTGCGTCGCAGCGAGATAAAACATGCTTAGCAACGGCAGGTCCCAAGCACTTTGGAAATGAAGGAGAAAGCTAGGTGTGACATGTGAACGACCCCTTTGTTTCCACAAAAATTATTAAACCGCAGAACTGTTTTCAACATTAATAATAAGAAATGTTTCTTGAGCAGCAAATCAGCATATTAGAATGATTTCTGAAGGATCATGTGACACTGAAGACTGGAGTAATGATGCTGAAAATTCAGTGTTGTTATTACAGGAATAAATTACATTTTAAAATATTTGAAAGCAGAACAGAATTATTTAAAATTGTAATGATATTTCACATTTTACTGTTTGTACTGTATTGTTGATGAAATAAAAAAATTAAATCAGCCTTGGTAAACCTAAGAAGCTTCTTTCAAAATCATAAAAAAATAATAATAATCTTACCGACCCCAAACTTTTGAACAGTAGTGTATATTAACTTTTTTTTTTTTTTGCATTGAATTACTTTCTCCTGTGTGTCTTGAAAATAAAACGATTTACATAATTCTTTCTTTCCATTTTCCTTTTTCCCTGTGAAGGTCAGGATAAATACAGGAAAGAACACCACTCTAAAATTCAGCGAAAGAAATGAACAAAAGGTACAAGCCAAGCGGAAAAAAAAAAGTGGCAAAAGTAACGGCCTTTCTCCTCATGAAAGTTACAAGATCACAAGCCCAGCAGACATTTATAGGTAACAGCCTAATGGGAATTTTTATTGATGTATTAAAACAAAGCATGTTTGTTTTTTATCGGTTCAGTTTCAACGCAGTGTTTGTTTGTAGGGTGTTTGTGGATTTGGTGAATGGAGAGCCAATACCACGCAAGTCCATTTTGAAGTCCCGCAGCCGTGAGAACAGCGTGTGCAGTGACACCAGCGAAAGCAGCACAGCTGACTTTGAAGAGCGCCGTGCGGCTTTTGGACGCTCGTGGAGCCATGATGACGCCACACACAGTGATACCAGCGATGGCATTACAGAGGAGGAAAGCCCCACTGGAACGAGCCCCCGCACTAACGGACGCTTTGAGGTACTGAAGACTTGTTGCTGTTGGTTAAAGTCTGCATGAAATGGAAATTCACCCAATCTATATTCTAATTGCATGTTATTGATCGTATTGTGAATTATTTATTCACTGTAGTGCAACGTGATTTTAAAAACCACTCAAAATACTGTAGCAACACCATAGAAATGCCCTAGCAACTACACAGAATAGACTGGAAGCCCCAGCATCATGTCAGCAAGTTTCACATGGAAAAGCAGCAGTCAAATTTTCTTCAAAAACTGTAAACTTTTATTGTTTATATATCTTGTGACAGAAAGTATTTTTATTTCTTTACCAGTCCAGAAATTATATTAAATGCATTGTTTTTTTTAATATGTCTTGCTCAGAAACAATATTCTCATTAAATATTTAAATGTCTTTTTGTGTTTTAGGCTTTTACAGGCACAGTGATTGAAAAGGAGCCCCTGCCTTGCTCCATCCCATACCTGACCATCGCCCCTCCTGCCTTACCCACAATCCCCGAGAGAAAGCTGGAGGAGGTGGGCCCCGAAGCTCTTCAGGAGCCACCCAAGAGGATGTCCAAGTTTAAAGCTACACGGTTGCATCAGACATGAGTTCATCTCATCAACACACAACTTTTAAATTCGGTTTTGTACAACAGTAACTCCTATAGTCTGACTTTCTCACTAGCTGTCCTCTTCCTCTGTCCTCCACACTACTTCTATACTGTCATCTGTCTGTTTTTTTGTTTTGTTTTGTTTTGTTACATGCACCCTGGACATTTTATTTGCTCTGTAAGAGTAATTTGCTTTTTTATATGCCAGATGGTTTGTTTAAAGGGATAGTTCACCAGAAAATTAAAACTGTCATCATTTACTCACCTCTTGTCTTTCCTGTATGATGTTTTTTCTTCTGTGGAACACAAAGGAAGTTATTTTGAAGGAAGTTGGAAATCGTTGTTTCACAGAAGAAAGTCATACAGGTTTGGATCTTCATGAGATTGATTAAATGATGACAGAATTTTCTTTTTTTGTGTGTGAACAGTCCCTTTAATTTATGAAGATGCTGCACATTTTGGTATCTTTTGTGTGTATTAGTATAGATAAATAATAGTTAAAAATAGAATGGAGAAAAAAAAAAATCCTAAAATGTTTTCAAGACAAACAAAATAGTAGTGCTAGTGACATCATGACTACTGTCATTGTTGTGATGTGGTCTATGATGTGGATTTTTTTGGAAAATGCTTTATTAAAGTTAATTCTCGTTTTGTTAATTCATGACATTTATGTGCAACTTTGACCTATGTTGGTCATAAAATAGCTGCCAATTTCTGTCAGCATAAAAAAAAAAAATGATAATTTCTGAACTTCATCTCTGATTCTCTTATCTCGTTTTTTATCTTGTTTACAGAGTTTTGGCTTTGTACATCAGCTTTTTTTGTGACTGCCGGAAAAAATGTTGTGGTAACTGAAAAGGAGAAAAAATAAATGATTTTGACTGTACAAGTGTTTTAACTGGTCATTAGGACATTATTCATTTGGTTTCGGTTCTACACAGGACGTTCATTTGTGCATTCATTTCTGTGCATGAAACAAGTCGCGGTTTTACTGATGAAGCAACTCCTTTGTCATTGTGGTGGTGTTCAGTCAGAACCATTAGAGGGCGCTAAAGCCTTTTACTTTTTTTATCTTTAAAAATCAAAGCCAAAACAAGTTAATGCCTATGGAGAGGGAAAAAAACTATAGACATTTAGCAGCTGAATCTTGGGCTCCAAATGTTACCAACAAAAAAATAGTTTAGGCTTGTCAGATTAGGTGTTTTTACAAAAGCATTCTTTTTAAATGTTATAAAACGTTATAAAATATTTAGAATGATTATCAAGAATATCTCTTTGGATTTGAGACTTTAGTGTTTGCAACTTTACAGATCTTCTTTATGCACCAAGAGCTTGTAACATTCCAAAGAGAAAGGAAAAATTGAAATCGCATCATATGACCCCTTTAATAAATTATTTTGAATGTAAACTTTGGGCCAACATATATATGGCAGCATGTCTTTGAGTTATTAACTTAATCGAAGGCAATTATATATTTGTGTTGAATGATGCAGTATCTCACAATAAATCAATCACGGGCACATCTCTACAGTCATTTACAAGGTTCACAATGTGGCATTCAAGAAAAGTAGTTCAGCCTTCTTGGAAACAAGTGTGTCAGAATAATCCAAAAACAAGATGACTCAGAGTGCTCCATTATTACTTCTGGCATTTAAAGGCAAGGATGGAGTATTTCTGAGGAGGGCTGGCTCCATCAATGCCTTTGTTTGCACCGGTATCAGACATTTGTGTTTGACTGCAGACTTATCCATCAGCAAATTGACATTTGGATGTGGACAGGTTCTGAGTCAGCAGCTGGGCTGAACACAGCTTAGTCCGTTCAATTAATTTCTGTCTAGAAAGACTGAATGATCACCTCCAATAAAAACATTTTCAAGCATGATCTTCATGCTTAAAATGGCTTAGAGTTGATTTTTGATGTCATTTAGCAGGGCTGTTGCGAAAAACTCTGAAAGTCATGAGAGATATTTCACATAGAAACTTATACAGCAGGCTTTAAAGAAATAGTACACTCAGAAGATAAAAATTATCTTACCATAAACCTTAATCAGGTTAGACGCCATATTGAATTTTAAAGGAGTAGTTCACTTCCAGAATGAAAATTCTGTCATTTACTCACCCTCCACTTGTTCCAAACCTGTTTGAGTTTCTTTGTTCTGTTGAACACAAAAGAAGATATATTGAAAGATGTTAGTATCCGAACAGTTGATGGGCACCACTGACATCAATAGTAGGGGGAAAAAATACTATGGAAGTCAATGGTGCCCATCAACTGTTCGGATACCAACATTTTTTTCAAAATATCATCTTTTGTGTTCAACAGAAGAAAGAAACTCATTCAGCTTTGGAACAAGTGGAAGGTAAATGATGACAGAATTTTCATTCTGGAAGTGAACTTATCCTTTTATCCTGCATGATAGACCTAGTCTTTATAATGGCACACACTGTATAAAGGTCCTAAATCAGGTAATTTTCACAAATTACTTTTAAAGTTTTTTTTTTTCTTCTAAGAAAGGCTTTTCGTCAGCCGCACACTCGGTGCATGTTGTCAAACAATAGTAGCTACAATCCATTGAACAGACTGTACTTCCATCTTGCACTGCCTCATTCCTGTCAAAAATTAAATATACTACCCTGACTAAGATCTGCTCACAATCGTGACATTCCAAACCTGTTTGATTTTTTTTTTCTTCTACTGAACACATATTGCTTGTCATTGGTCATTTTTAACAACCTCTATTCACTGTTGTTCACATCCATTTTACTGAAAAGACAAACATGAACTTTCAACTAAATGTCTCATTTTGTGTTCCACAGAAGAAATACAGTCAAACAAGTTTGGATCAACATTAGGGTGAGTAAATGATGACAAAATGTTCATTTTTGGAAGAACTATCACTTTAATTCTCACTCATGAGTCAGTGTTTTCAGATTATTTTCTGTGCCAGTAAATAATAAATCTAGAGGCACTGAGGTGCCTTCTATTTTATGCCACTGTCTCAACGGGCATCTGTGTTACTGAAACTGTCACTGATAAGGATCGCACTAATAATCGCTGCTGGGCCCATGAGCTCTATAATGTCCAGCTGGTCTCTCATGCTGATCCACCGTTTTAGGGGTCAGAGTCTCTCCGAAGTGGCTGAGTTCAGTCTGGATGTGTCATCATTAGACTCAACATATCAACTGTACCAAACCATAGTGCCTCAGAGTGGCCATTTCACCCCATAATTGAAACATCTGATACTCATCTCCAAGCAACAGTTATTAAAGGCAATTTCACACCAATTAGTTGTGTAGTTAACACATCTAATGGAGCCAGATGGGGAATATCAATTCAAGCTCGAATGACAAACCTGCCCTGGATTTTGCTCGGGAGCAATTAGTAGTATGAAGGAAGCTGAAAAGAGTGAGCTGTTTTTTATTTCATGCTTGCGATGGATCCTTGTTCCTTATATTACTGTGCATGTTTCGCATTTTAGTCTAAATATATAGCCTATTTCAATTCTCAATAAAACTGTTAAGCAATTACATTCATTCTGGAGATTTGCAATGAAAGTGTTCTATGCATGTGTTTGACTGGTAAAACAATAGATCACCACGGGCAGCTGTGTTCCTCCCTTGTTTCCATGGCAATGCTGCTGATTGACAGTTGCCCTGACAACTCCATTCAGCCACCACCTGCTAGCTGTCAATCAGACCTGCCATCCTGGGGCTATTGACAGAGCTGTCAGCCTGTGTGAGAAGTGCCTGTCAAAGCTTCCAGCACTTGTGGTGGCAGGGAAACATCTTTTTCCTCCATTCAAATTGTCTTCTCTTGTCGCCTTCTTAAAAGTCAAATTTGGTCAGAGCCATATCCTCTTAGATTTACATTTGCATTCACATTTATATGCCTGGCACACAGGTTTTTGTTAGCAAAGTGAGAATGGAGAGCATTAAGACTCCATTATTTGTTATTGCTACCTGCATTTGCTTGTCAGTGTTGTTTGAATGCTCATTTTCAGTACTGTTAGAATGGAGCTGCATGGGTGAATAGTTGACTAAAAGATGTAGTTTTCAAAGTATTCTTGTTACAACAGTTATTCTATGTAGATGATACTATTTATGGTCATAAACTAGGACTGTAGAAATGTACCTTTACTGCTGTTCTCACTTAAGTAGTAACAATCGAAGTCAGCAACTCTTCTCGCTTGGTAATGAATTTGAACCACTTCACATAAAAAAAAAACGTCTGAAATATTCGTTCATGAAACAGAGAGCCATACGCACAATATTAAAATATGTATATAATTGCTTACTATATAGTGCATAATAAAATTAATTGGATGTAATGTATTTTTTTTTACTTAAATGTATTATTAGAGTTGGTTTATTGAGTTATTAAACAATAATGACTGATTATTGAGCTTTACCAGCTTTGCTCACACCTGACAGATGACAAGCCCCAGCTCGGAGGCTGACCCTGCAATCAAAGTTCTGTCACACCCGTCAATATCCTACTGTCATAGCAACACTTCTTGTGAATGATGATGTGAGAGAGGGTGGTGCTGGTGGGTTGGGGTCTAGCTTTACATTAACAGTCAGTCACCACCACACCTCCAGATGAAACGTGGTGTATGTTCTCCAGGTTTCATAACTTCAGAGCTCTCTGTTAACAGTGCACTTGTTATAGAACTTTTCTTCATTTAGAGTTATCTAGGGAAATGTGCATTCAACAGTGATAGAGTTTTTATGTATTCACTTTGTTCTGATAATGCAGAGGATATTAAGGTTCTTTTTGTAATTCACTTCCAAAAACCTTCAACTTTAAGTGGTTATTTGTATCTGTACAGCATACTACTTAACCCTCATGTTTTGTTAGGGGTTTTTAATAGCTCAAAAATATACAATATTTAATAAAATAAAAAATATATAATACAGTATTGTTGTAATCACGTTTTTTTGTTTGTTTGTTTGTTTGTTTTTTTTGCAGCTGATGAACTATAAAAACATTGACAGCCAACCATAATGATCCTACTTTGAAGAGCTCGAGCATTCAAAGCGGCGAATGACAAAACTAATAAACAGAATGTTATTGTGCGTTGGTATGGATGCTAATATAGTTAGGGCCTTTAAAAAATATATTATAATAATAACTTTTTTACTCACAGTTTCTAACTGAAAATATACTTACAGCTTGGCATAATTAGAAAAAGTATATTCATTATAGAAATTCCCTTGGAGATTTTATCAATTTACATGA